TGCACACTTAAATTATTTTGATCAAAACAAAAAGTACAGAAAAGAATGTACCTATTGTGCTTTGAACTTCTCAAAAATAATTTCATTAATGATCTTTAAAAATGATCTTTTCACGGCATACCAGTTGAAAATCACTGTTAGGTGATGTCATAGTAGCGCCTGTTATTCATTTTCAAATAAAACTACTAAGATTGAAGGCGAGTACATAAAATTAAATTTCTGAGATCATGAAACATATATTGATGCCTTCTTTTTTTTTTTCAGGACTTCCTTGTGGACCACCACCTTCAATTGATTATGCTGTTGTGTCTCCTAATTTAAACAGTTATCAATATGGTGAAGAATTTACATACAAATGTTCTGAAGGTTTTGGAATTGATGGCCCTGAATTTACAAGATGCTTAGGAGGAAAATGGTCTCAACAGCCAAAATGCATAAGTATAGTGTATTTTATTGCATTGTATATAAGATAAACATCCTCAATGCAAAGTGTAAATGACACAAATAAGAAAGTATGCAGTGTATTGAATTTAACAATGTATTTCTTGAAGGATCTGGATTGTTGCACAGAATTACAGCTCTAACAATGAAAATGCTAGACATCATAAGCCAAATTACTAAATTTTAACATCATCTTTTGTGAACTTTCAGCATCCAATGATGTGCATCCTCAGACATCTACTCCATTACCTCAGTTCACAAAGTAAAGCAGACCCCCACTTCTGAATCTCATTGTTATTCTGCCTTCTATCAGTATAGCAACTATCTCTCTGCAAATACACTTTCTAAAATATCTTAATTATTATAAGTAATGTATTTGTCAGACAAAAAATATAAACACAGTGGCTTGTATGGGCAAAAATAAATCTGAATGTGAAAAACGGAATCTACAACTAGCAATATCTCTTCAGGCTTTTGATATCATTCCCATCTTTTGTTGTCAAAAATTTAAAACGAGTTTATGTAATTAATTGAAAGCTGCCATTTTTTTTGTCAAGTTAGAGGAAAAATATTATCTGGTGTTTACTGGTTCTATATATAACTATTATTTTAGTATATAATTATTATATATGATGTCTTTTTAATGATTTACTAAACAAATACCAGTAAATATTTTCTTTCTTTCAGAGACTGATTGTTCTGGTGTTCCCAGGTTTGATAATGCTGTACCTATAGGGCGTGAGAAGGATTCATATAGGTCGGGAGAACAATTGACTTATGAATGTGTAGCAGATTATCAATTAGATGGACCCAACACTGTAACATGTATTAAGAGAACATGGATGGGAAATATAACATGCAAAGGTACTTTGATGAACTTTTAAATTTATTCATTGAAGTGCCTTGATCAATAAAATGTAGACTGTTCTCTATCATCATTTCAAAATGAATATAGATTATTTTTTTTTTTAGACCAGGACAAAGTAGGTTTATACCTAAAAATAAAAGGAT